TATAAATAGTTCTTATTCTTAATCTTTAGTCTAAATTTTGATACTCACAACCCTGACATAAGAACGAACACACACATAAGTTAAAACAAAGTCACTTGAAAAGTTTAGTAATAAGCTGCTCAAATATTTATGTAACTGGATAAAATTAGTGAGGAGATTGTGTAAATATTATTATTGTTTATGTAATTATAACGAACTACAATGGCGCACGACTGCACGAATGGCGCAGTGGTTTAAGCGGTCGCCACGCCGCTTCCTACTGCGCTGAGTGTTGTGGGTTCAAACCCCACATTGGACGACACTTTGTGTGATCCACAAATTGTTGTTCTGAGTCTGGGTGTTCTTTGTGTCCGTTTCATGTATGTTTGTAAAGTCCCCCGCGACACAGGATATGTTCCTAATGCGGGAGTTGTCTTTTTAAAACAAACAAAAAAAAAAAAAACAATTAATTTTAAAATAGGGCGCCTGATGCTGGCCGTCTGTGTGGTTGTAGTAGAAATAATTCTGGCTCCTCCGACCCAAAGGAGCTGGAGATCCGGAGGGATTTTCAATTCCGTCACAAAAAAAAAATTGTGTGTTATTATTATTACAAAAACAAGTTTATTATTGAAACAATAGTACAGAAATATACGAATAACATGGAACACCCCACACACAGAGATTTGATACTAAACTTGGTAGAACACGTACTATGTAACCGAACTGCGGATAAACCAAATACATACACATACATTAGAAATAAATTATGCCCAGAAAAAGTACAAATAATTGGAAACATCACATTATTACGTGTCCTTGTTGGCATTTAAACCCTTTTACTCTTAGCAGTCAGACACACCAACCACTAGACTAAATGTCTATTGAAGTCGTTCGAAATAAAGTAATAACTGAGTAGACTGCACGAATGGCGTAGTGGTTTAAGTGGTCGCCACGCCGCTTCCTACTACGCTGAGTGTTGTGGGTTCAAACCCAACACGGGACGACACTTTGTGTGATCCACAAATTGTTGTTCTGAGTCTGGGTGTTCTTTGTGTCCGTTTCATGTATGTTTGTAAAGTCCCCCGCAACACAAGATTTATTCCTAGTGCGGGAGTTGTCTTTTAAAAAATGAAAAAAAAAATATAGCTCAAAACTTGTACATCATATTATCTAGTTATTACTCGTGGCTTCGCATCCCGTGATTATTTTTATTCATCACACATTACATCAACAGCTCTGAACAGTCCACTGCTTGACATAGGCCTCTCCTTAGAAAGGAGGTTTTGGCCTATTGTACCACGCTTGCCAGACGGGTTGGTATTGAGTTTGTTTCAAGTTTTCCTTCTCTTTGCAGTGCTGTTGTCCTGCGTAGTTTGCTCCCTTAGTCGGCTCTTACGAATGAATAGGGACTGTGACACTCCGTATTCTTAATTCGTCACCACACGGACAACGTGTATTACGTGCTTCTAAATTTAAAAAATGAGAAACTTCCATACTACTGTTCATTTCTTATTTTATTCCTAATTTTTTTTTTTTAATTCTTAGTGGGTGTTTACAACATAAAAAGCATGAGCTGCCAAAATTTTAAGTTTATAGCCCTAATGGTTTAGGATCTGCGTAGAGTCAGTCAGTCAGAGTCAGTCAGTCACAGTCAGTCAGTCAGAGCAAATAATTTTAAATGTATAGAAGATTTAAATTAATATTGAACAAGTAACAAGTCTAATACGTAACAGAACCTAAAAACCAATACAACAGACAGAGGCGATACCATTAATTTGTGATAAACACATTAGAACAGACACACCTACAGCCTATAATAATTAATGTACTGTCATAAAACCAGAAGCGTAGTCACACCAGGCAGAAATTATGTCACCGACTTTTCGCTATCGACGAATGGCATACGGTAAATCACTAAATGCATTTAAGGTATAAATGTGCTGGTGATAAAGCCAGGAGATGAATAGTGAAACTCTTCAGTAGCTTCTGGTAATCTTCTCGAATTTAGACTTGAATTTCTTGGCAACGATATGGTCTAATTATCAACCTAGTGTTTACACAGTGCAAATTATTAGTTTTAATCTTATGAGTAAGATAGAATCAGAAAATATTAAATTTATTTTAAACATAAGTGTCTTCTCTTTTTTCAGTGACTGAAAGTCAATTTTATGTTTTGTAACGCAATTATTTTATAACAAAAACAATTTATACTTTAATCTCACATGCGGACCACGCACGCTCAAGTTTGTTGCATAGCGTACTATTTGCGGCGTATTTTAAGTTCAGTGTGTTGATAGTATGTAATATTTATTATGTTCAACAAACTATGGTTAGATGGCATCCCGGGGTGCCGAGAGTGCTCAGTAAACGTCGTTTAGCAATCTGTTAATCTGTTGTAGTTAGCTTTTAGGGTCATATCAATAAAAACTATACAGGCTGTTCTTTACACACAGGACTTTAAATTAAGAAACAGGGACAGGTGTTTTTTAAATTTTATTAAGGACTATGGTAGCTACTGGTATAAGGAATAACAATTATAGCGGTTACAAATACACACACACACATACATGCACACTTTGCTAACCTAATCTCCTCATACATTGTAACCATTTTTTGGTGACGAGGTAGAAAAGCCAGAGAACTTTGGCGCCCTATTCTCGGGAGGACCCGCACCATTCAGATCCCCCCGAATTAACACCACGCCTAACATGGCCTATCCTGGGTGAAGCCGCAAGTTCACCCCTCCTCTCGATATTGAAACCTAGTGAAAACCCTTCTTCAAAAATTAAACTAGTGAGGGTAGCTAGACAACTAGTATCATTATTCTTGTAGCTGGAACCGCCTGAGCAGGTAATAAGACGTTCTCTAACTACCGCATTTAAACAGTATTTACTCTTAAAGTCTCTCAGTGGTTAAGCCAGACAAGGAGTCCATCAAATTTAATGATTACGACTTCGAATATCTTTAATGTCATCCGCTTACAGACATCACTAGTGTTCGTTTATCATTAACTTCTTCATCTAGCCAATGAGATACTTCACTTGCCTTCGTTAAATCTATGATTGCAGTCACTTCCTGTTATTAGTTTTGGATCAGTATGTAAATAGACTGCTTTATAATATATCACATCACATCAACAGCCTTTACGACTAGTAAAGGCTGTTGATGTGATGTGCTGCTGGACATAGGCCTCTCCTTAGAAAGGAGGTTTTGGCCTACTATACCACCAGACGGGATGGTATACGGTTTGTACCAAGTTTTCCTTCTCTTTTCAGTGCTGTTGTCCTGCGTAGTTTGCTCCCCTAGTCGGCTCTTACGACACCTACGTGATGAATAGGGGTGGTGACACTCCGTATTCTTAATCCGTCATCACACGGATACTGTGCTGATCTATACTCGGATACTCTAATATATACACTACTTTGAATATGATTCTTGAAACGTTCACGGAATTTTCTTGGAGCTACCAACTTCCTTCTGTTTCTCATTCTCTACTATGCAAATGTTTTGCAATGCAAAAACCCACTTTTTTACCGAAAACCCACTATACTTTAGCCGTAAGAAAGCCAAGTTCCTGGCACGTGTGGGCAGGCTTGACTGGAATCATACCACGGCCTCACAGAAAACCGGTGTTAAGCAGTTCTTTCCCAGCTTTTCTGAGAGTGACGTTACCTTAACCCACACCTTAGGTTATAACGATATTTCGACTTGATGATTTTGAATGAAATGACAGTGGCTTGTACGTTAACATAAAATAGCAGAATTTACTTGCTTGCCCCCTATACCATAAAAAAACTACATAAACTTGAGCAACTTCCAAACGTCTGCATCAGATTTATATTTGGGCCAAATACGGCCATGTCTGTGAATTTGGAAAGAAGTGTTTATCTATACGGCTCCGACTATCTTCAATATAAGTGTTCCGTCACATTGTTTGTTTTTTATGTAATGTATTGTTTAACCCGTCGCTACGTTTATATCTCCAACAATAGTATATGTGTCATTATACACAATTACGATTTAATTAGGAATCCCCGCACCGGACGGTGAGGTTACCGGAGCCCAAATCCCCCCGCTGGGAGTCCCTCCCGCTGACTCGAACGGGAATGACTCCAAGGGCAGCAACGCACTTGTGACTTTTGAGTTGCAGGTGTCCATGGGCGGCGGTAGTTGCTTACCATCAGGTGACCCGTCTGCTCTTTTGCCCTCTTATACCATAAAAAGAAAAAAAGACCAGACGCTTCTTCACCAGGACAGAAATTAAGAAAACAAAGAAAGAACTTTTATATATCTCTTTCATGTTGTCGTGATGGTATTTCATTGAACTTCTTTCTTCTCATTCTGCTTTAAAAAAAAAAATGTCGTTCTGTCTGTACATCTATCACGTTAATACACGTAAATAAACTCAAACCGCAAATTATCACAGGAAAGTACACCACAATTACCTAAGCTATTTAAAAACATAAATTGTAATAAATTAAGGGAATTTTATTTATTGAAAAACATGATTTAGTAGTCTGGGTTTTTGTGGCTAACCATAAGTTTGCCATCATAGTGGTTCACAAAAAACAAGGCTCTGTGAAACCCCCTGCACTCACGACACGTGCATTATTGCTTTATACTACACTAACTAACTAACAAAGACTAACTAGAACACAAACTACACAGAATAAAAACGTTTTCGTCAAACTAAAAGAATTTTTCCATTTGATTTCCAAACTCCCACGTAAAATCATATGTCTCAGCCTAAATTAAATAAAAAGTTCCCAACGCCAAAACCAGAAACTACACCAAAATAGAACATAAAAGAAAACCCTTAGCAGTGAAGGGTTTGTTCAAAAAATAACAATTAATATCCATCAAGTAGCAATGTCAATATGTGTGCAAATGTAGGCTTGCAGTGGGCGGGGGTTGAGCACCCGCTACGAGATATAAAGCTTCGCACGACGCTACGAACAGCAGAACCGTAGCAGGCTCGTAGCTGTGTGTAGACCTGACAACGTGACACTGAACTTACAAAAATGGCTTCAGGGTAAGTGACGGCGTTATTTTTTTTTATTATTTAATTTATTGTTTGACTTTCGACTTTTAAAATGTAATAACTGTATTTTTTTAAATAACTTTTAAATCACCAAGGAAATTGAAAATAAAATTCCATCTTAATTTTATTACTGAATAGACTAATATCTAAGAATTTTATAACGATAATTTAAAAAAATAAGACCGTGCATTAAAGGTAAAAAAAAAACTTTTATAAACTATTGCAAGAAAACTAATTAAAACTATTACTTTTGAATTTTTTATTTAACTTTGTAACTATTTTATTTAAATCAAAGATATAATAGGTTGCTTATTTAATTTATTCTTTCCACGTGTTCAAACACAACATTAAGTAAAGTTTTCTGATGTTTGTGGCTCACAATAGATCACAATACCATTTAGTTTTACAAACTTTTATATGATATTCATTTAAATATTTATGACACTATTAGTTGACTTTTAAACAGATTCACCACTCATAAGTTGCGTGACTCTGTATTAATACGAAAACGGAGATGAAAAAACTTTATATATAATTTCCGATATCAATTTAATTTGCAAAATTTATTTCTTTAAGTAGACAGATTATGAAAAGATTTATAATATCAAAATTAAAAAAAAGTGTATTTGATTTCAAAAATCGAATCTCCTTAGACATCGTCGACATCGATAAAAAAGCAGCAATAGGTTTTATTCCAAGAGGTGAAATTAAACATTAAATATATATTATATATATATATATATATTATTAATTCTCTGTGATAAATTACTCCATAGCGGGATTTTCCATTTTGTACAGTTATTTAAAAAGTACCTACTTTTTCATATCTCTTATGTAAGTGTGTTATACTTAAATAAAAACAAAAATCATCATATATAAACGTTTCTGCAGTGTTGAATTCATAGTCAATTAAACATGTTCACAAATCCTGAACATCAAACTAAAACTAATTTATTTGAACGCAATCTCCTGAGTTATTAGATGTTTTTATAGAAACACGATCATATATAGAACTATTAGACGTATTGGCCACAATTTCTGATAAACCAAGGAACAATTAAATTCTATTACAGTCATAATTGAATGTGAATCTTATGTAATGTCTGATAAGCCTATATAGGCTAGGGAACGATACCGTTTCCCATCGCACTCAATTCTCAATTATTACCTTAAACGTAGAATTTTCCTGTAAATTTTGTAAATGGTTGGTTTTCATTATTCGAAAATGGGTTAAAAAATTCTCTCTCGAATAATATTTGTTCGCCCATCGATATTTAAAATAAACAAAACGTTTCCAATTTTAAATTCAAATAAAAAAGATACAAAAAAGTTTGGTATCGTTTTGGACACTACTCATACAGTCTATGGTTACTTATATGGTTACTTATACTTATATGGCTGAGAATTGTTTTTAGGTCTTCTTAAGCAAATTCACATATACAGGAATTAAAGAAATCAATTTTTAAACACTTACATTTAAATTAAAGAAGAAAGCTAATTTTTTAAACCAATATGTGATGTTAATTTAAAAAATATTATGGAATGACAATGTAAAATATGTTTTTGAGCCGTCATGTTACAAAGGTCTATACAATGATAGTTCAAATTATAAAAAAGCAATCAAAATTGTCAAAATTCAAAAGTTAGGCATGTAAGATTTTTTTACAGATAAATTTAATGTTCGACAAGCCTGTATCTTTAAAATAAAAATGTGAGTTAATCTGAATTTTAAACACGGTTGCAGGGCCGATTCAATTCGTGATAACGTCCATAAAATTTCGCAAGATAATGACAGCCGCTGTCACTTGCAAAAGTTGTAAATGGATAGAGTCGTAAACGTGGTTTTAGAGTTCGGCTCTATGGCTAAAACTATTAAAAGTCAGGCACGAAATGAAAAAAGTAAATTTTGAACGAGGAACGGAATGAACTGTCTAATTTAGTTTGAAATGCGTACTATTCTAAATTGTTTGTTTATGGATCTCGATGTTCCAAATCTAAACAGAAGTTTGTTATGCCATGTTTTTTAGTTGTAAGTAATGACCACTTACATCTAAATATACAAGACTGTTCGTAGTCTTAACAGATGAATGATCTGTCCATTAACTTAGACAATGTAACGGCATTGAGTTTCGAAAGAGCCGATTTGATGTAGTATTATCTCAAAATATTAAGTGTAACACAACCTTTTTACACATTATCTTTTTAAAAAGGGCAAACCCAAAAATAACCCACTTGGTAATATTTTGTTACGAAAAGGCTTTGGAGGTATGAATTACCATTTTATAAAAAAAGACACATTACAACATGCTGATGCCTGTTACTTTTAAAGGTTATTATTTATTACGTAAAACCTCATATTTTCGTCAATAAAACTTCTGTTTTGCAGCTTCGCTTGTGTTAATGTCGACTATGTCAATAAACTTTTCATGGATATAAAGTAGCTAACATCTCCACGCGTATCTGTGGCAATTTCCATCTAGATTCAGTATTCAAAGCTTTCACATTTCATACATTGATTCTAACTACCAAGGTCATTCTCACTTGACAAGTTATTATGAACAGGATAATAGTACGGGCATTAGTTTACAATATTTCAACAGTGTTGCAAGCGCCATGATCTCGGATAAACTCCGGTTCAAATATTCCTTTCCCATTTTTACCTGCAAGTAAGTTTTTTTATACGTCTTATAGTCCGTCAGTATGTGACATTCTAGTGATATATTCAATTGTATTAACACAGTATGACAAGACGAAGTCACCATACAGACATTAAAGAACACAAAAAAGAAAAATCAATTATTAACCATTCGTCTTATTAAAGTTTTTTTAAATTTTTCTTCGCCGCCGGCAGTTCAAGCACCTGTTGCTCTGAACGCTCGAGGAACTTTCATTATTTTCTTATTCCCAAGGCAAGTGTGGGAAAGGGTTAGCGTTCTAGCGTTCCATTTAATAAATATATAAAGATATAAATCTATATATTGTACTGTAAACTAAATGTTATGTTCCAACTACTTATAAAAATGACGATTTTTATAGCAGCAGCAGTTTTACCAGTCTTCCTTAGGGACCTTTTCAATGGCTTCAGCTTGATTCAGGCCTCGTTAAACGTGTGCCTTTAAGATTGTCTTTAATTTTTGGAATCAAAATCAGGACTCAAATGTGGAACTGATCGCATCCGCCTAGGCGGCGCCTAGGCGGATGCGATCAGTTCCACATTTGAAGCCTTCAAGTAGGCTTCTGTTACCTTAGCGGAATGTGAGGATGCGTTATCGTGGTGATGGAGGACATTGCTTCGAGGACGTTTTTCGCCAACTCTTTCTAAGACTCTGGGCAAGCAAGTGTTGAAGTACCAATCTGCAGTCACTGTTCTCTGATCTTCAAGCGATACTGTAGTGAAATGTCCTGATTTGCCGAAAAAAGCGGCACCCATTTTGTACCAATGCTTCGACTTTTCTTAACCTTCGTCAAAAGGAAAGACCCACTCTGCCGGGCGGCTTTTGATTTCGGGTTCAAAGCAGTACACCCAGATTTCGTCACCTGTCACAATTTTATAATAATAATAAAAAGTGCAAAAGCTGCCGAACCTTCAGACGCACATGTAAAATGTTTTGCACTTGGCTAATTCCAATGCCTAACAATGCACGTATTTGCTGGCAAGTAAATTTTTTTGTCAGTTTCAATAACTTGTCGTATGGTGTCAATATTAGAGTCTGTAACCGCAGTCGCCGGCCGACCTTCACGTACCTCATCATGGAGATGTTCACGTCCACGTCTAAATTTTCCAAACCACGAATACACAGGGCTGCGACATGGTGCTTCATCGCCAAATGCCAATTGAAGTCTCTTGCAACTCTCTTGTTGACTTAAGCCACAACAAAAATCATAAAAAATCATTGAAAGATAAATTTCGAAAGGACGTCATAATGAAAAAACAAATAACAGTCTCAAAAATTAAAAAGTAACATGTTCCCAAAGAGTTCCATTTTCGAAATCCATAATTGTTTTTTTTTGGTTCTTTTATTGTAAGTCGCCAGATCCAGAGACTTTCCTTGTGCCAGTATGTATTTAAGAAGCTTTTTATAATATATGACATTTAAAAACCAACTAGTTATTCCTTAATTCTGGTCATCTCATCTTTGCTATTCGATTTTTATTTGATGTTGGTGTATTTGCAACCACGGCAAAATTGACACTGGAATACAGATAGCACACAACATGATATAGAGTAAAAAATAAATTTGGCAATCCTGATCTTAAAATTGAGAAAAAATTTAAATAAAGCTTAAAGTAGAATTTCGAGCTGTCTTCTGTTCCGTGAAATCTAAAGATATCTATTCTTTGTCACTCAAAAACCAAAAGGTTAGATCTAAGAAAAAAGAACTATATCTCTCCGTTTTTACTCAGCTCTCTAATATAAACTTATTTTAAAATACAACAGACCTCAATTTTACATTCATTTCCAGATCCCAAAGGAACCGGGCAGTATGCTTGTTAGAAAACTCACTCGTATATAAAACTAATTTCATGATTATAGTTTACTTAAAATTTACAGAAACACCGACAAAATATTATTACATGAAATTAACTTTCAAACAGAATACTGTTGCTATCTAAAACTCAGTTCTGTTATAATATAAAGGAGCTTCTATTTTTCTGAAAACATCTGAATATTACGCCAAAAACATTATCCCTGAAAGATACACAAACTTTTGAATAAATGAATGAATTAATTTTTTTTTTTCACATATTAAAAAGTAAAGATTATTTCAAAACTGCTGCAAAAAGATAATTTACATTATTAAGTCCAAAAAACCAAAGGTTAATTTTTCAAATTTAATTATTTTTTGATAAATTGTTTTGCTCGTTTTCCACATTTCATTTTAGTTTAAAAATGAGATTTTAATGGCGTTCACTCAGGCTTCAACAAGTCGGAAATTATTTCAACTAGGCAAATTTAACGGCTTATGTTCAGAAATAAGCTAAAATACCAG